CGTGTATGAAGTCAGATTGGTTTGATATAGTGTCTATTTTAGGACACCAGGAGAAACATTTGGGTTTTGTCCAAACTGCATTTGTACTTTACATTTTTAAACATAAATATCAAAGTTTGAAATAACTCCTGGCTTTATAATATGGATTATTTCGTTTATGTTTAATATTAGATTAACTGTACAGTATGACGCAATCACTCCATGAACTCTGTGTTTGGCTGTTTTCTGTTTGAATGTGATAACATTGTTGACGCACACAATAGTACAGTTCAAAGAAAGCTCCTTGTTCTACAGGGCTACACTTCAAGATCAAGGTGTTCAGTCCTACAAATATCATTGTCTTTTTGAACATTATAATGGACATTTTCATTCATAGTTAGTATTCCAAGTGCAATTCTAGGCCTCACAATTGTACTGTAGCCTTGCAGGATAGTGTGTTCATTACAGTGGTTTGATTGAAAAGACACAGGGTAGAGGAGAGGGGTGACCTTCTCTTCTCTAGTCCTCTCATTTTGATTTGTCTCTGGAAAAATATTGGACCAAGGGTTGGGAGAAAGATAATGCTACTAGAGAAAGTGCACCTTATCCAAGGTCGGTGTTGCATTTCTTTTATTGTCCTGAGCTTATTTCATGAAAAAAAGAGAGAAAAAAAGAAAAAGAAAGATATGCTTTCCTCTCTCAACATAATTCTGAAAATGGAACACCATACTGTATAGATGGCATCCTGTGATAATGATGTGGTTGGTGCAGAAGTGTGCTTGGTCAGCCAAATCCCTGGCCACACAAATGTGTCTGCTGAGGCAGGGATTCCAGCTAGGACTTACCATAATACTGCTCTCATTACAGTCCGGAGGAACACGCATGTGTGTGTGTGAGTGTGAGTGAGACAGTGAGTCCCCGTGGGCATTTGGCTGTAGCACTGGAGAAGATAAGGTAGTCTGATGTCTCCTGACATGGTCAATGATTCATAATTGAGGCAGGACAGCTGTTGCTGGGTGCACTGACAGGTCCCAGGGTGGATGACAGATGATAGGGCCCTCTGGGGCTGAGCTATCTATCAGTCCAAATGTTCTCTGTCCACTATCTGCTCACCTATCCTTCATAAGCCTCCCTGATATATGTAAACCAAGTAGTCACAGATCCGCAATCTTGTTCTGCTCACTGAATATGATAAGTTGTTGCAGTATCAAAGACTACTGTCGATACCATATCCAAGGTGAACATCAAGTAATTAAGAATCCAATTTACAATCAAATTATCTTCTGTGTTTCAGTGAATTCAAATGCTGTTTTTAAACAAAGCCACAAAAAGCTCTTAAGCGAATATTAAAAATGACAAAAATAAAAAATGTTAATATTTAATGTTCTGTACCATAGACAAAGCAACATTTATAAATCAGAGCTTTTCTAGCAGGTCCACCACAAGCCCACGATAGTGAGAGTAGGTATGCTACGAAAGTGTTTGTTTCATTGGGCTCTGGAAGCCACTATATGGATGTCTCCTCTGTTAAGACACTTTTATTGTGAGTTGCAATAAAGGTGTCACAGCAAGTGTTAATCTTTTTTTAAGGCGTCAACATCAAACGTCTGAAAGCCAGGACAAAACACATTGGTGACAAAAAAATAGAGAAGATATGATGCACTACAGTAAACCAGTGGGATTATGTAATGTTTTACACTGTACAGTATATACTGGAGGTTTTTTTTCTCATTTCAGAAGGAAATTATTGTATTTATAGCACAGAAAGACTTCTTATCTCACAGAATGAACTTTACATTTTGCATGTGCTTTTACCTGGAACAACTGTGCATCTGGGAATTGCCACTATTTGATTAGTAACTACAAATTAATTACAGTTTCCTCAGTAACTGTAACTGCACAATTAAATGTACATAATAACACAATGCAGTTAAGATGACATCATTCACATCTGTTTTCTAAGGCTCTCATTTGCTAAATTTGACAGACTAAATTGCAATTCCACATTGACTACATTTCAGTCTCATTCTTTGAATATATCAGTGTGACTGTTAAACTCAAGGAGAATTACTGTGCTCTCCTGTGAGCCTGTAGGGAGAATTATTGGGTTATAAAACAGTCAAATAACCTAAATAATCTGATTTCCAAAAACACTGTGCCCACAGCCTTGTCATTCTCATTACCCTTGAGGAATTGAGAATCTGATTCTAAAGTCACGTTTCATTCTTTTATTACTCACTGTGACGCTCCTATTTAAGGCACATGCAACTATGCAACTACAAAAAAATAAGCATCTTGGCATCTTTGACCTGATGACTGACTGCTTGTTGTGCACCTTGTATCCCAGAAAACCTTCAGAGATTGGGTTTAAATCTGGTATTGATTAAAAAAATCAAATCAATCAAAGTGGCTGATCTCATGGATAATTCCGGAAGAAGTCACCTCTAAGCTCAGGCTCGCAGCGTCCATCAGCCTCTCTGCAGTCATTGTCAGCACCTCGTCGACTGAGTGACAGTTTGTCTACGTGACCAAATTCATTTTGCTACCATCGTGTGACTAGTACTCATCCTGCCCACTGTCTCAGCTTTTCCAAGCTGCTGCACTAACAATCCTGCAACACAGCCTAGGGCAACCTTTTTTTTGCCTCGTGACATACCTGAAACCTAAGCCCACTACCTGTGACAGCATTCAGTTTCACATACTGTGCCGACCTCTTGAGTTTTATACATGGCTCGGAAAATGGGAAGATATTTCAGAAGACATTTATTTAAACATATGCAAACATAAATGAAATACAGTATATAAGGCAAAAGTTTAGAGTTACAGTAACAGTTTACAAAGTTTTACCAAGCTTAAGTTTGTGAACATCTCTTGTGTTGTTCTTCTTCTTGTGTCCTTGGCAGAACTTAGTCTTTTCTCATAGTTTTTCATAGTTTCTTGACAGCCACCTTTCCAGTAAGACTATTTCTAATGATGCTTTGACGAACAGTAGACTGATAAACCAAAGAACTAGTGTCAGATCATTGCTTAATTGTTTCTTGTTTCTTAAAGATGTGACTTTCAGATACAGTTCATGTGCTCCCAATAGTTTTTCAGCCTGACACTCCTTTTATCCTCCACTTGTACAGTTTCCTTCGAATTTTTAAGGATACACTGGACACCAACGCCATATCTTTTGGCAATCACCTTGTTGGTGCAAAAATACAATGACACAAACTGTGTCATCTTTATTTTTTGTAGATTCAACTAAAGACATGGGAAAAAATTATGTTTTTGCGACATGCTACTAATAACAAAGGTCCAAAAGATATAACCTGTGAGTGTCGCTTTGCTAGGTTGTCTATTAGGTGTAGACACAAAAGGTTCATCTACTGATTTTAGGTGCCTCCTTTATGCTTGAATAATTCATAGTTCAGTATTAAATGGCTTAACAAACAAACAAACAAACAAACAAACAAACAAACAAACAAACAAACAAACAAACACATTTCCTCTGAAAATGGACGGGTGCTAAGACTTGACTGAATATGAAGGAAAAAGCAGCCAATATTCGAAGAATAACTTTAAAAGATCTTTAGAAAGCCTGAAGAACTATTGTTCAAGACCACTTCAAAAACAAGAAAGACACGAGGAGTGGTTTAATTTTGCAGATTACTGTATAGAATTACTTAAGATTATTTAGCTGCCTGGGCACCAACATCCTGTTGTGCTTCAGTTTTCTATAGCAGTGGTTTTCCGAGCAATGTCTCAGCGTACTCTACAACCTAAAGAATACAGCAATTAGCTTTAGAACATAGTGAACCATTTATCAGACGTTCACCGAGAGACTGGTCGAGACCAAAAATAGTGCTGAAAGGCAAGATTAGACTTGCATTTTCCAAGTGGTCAGAAAAAGAAACCCGACTATAACGGATGTGCACAACATGATAAACAACAAATAGAAGACACAGGAATTTATACAAGGGCAAACTGAGAACTAATAATGGGAGTGGAAACAGCTCTGGAACAAGAACAGGGGATGACAATCTACACAACGAGATAGGCGAGAAAGTAAAACTAAACACAACACGAGAGAAAGCAAAAGGTAACAACTCTTATCTGGAAAACCAAGAGCTGACTAAAAATAAAAACACACACAAAGCCAATTTAAAAAACTATCAAAAGTAGAAAAAAGTCAAATGATAGAAGAATATATATATACAGGACACAGGGGAGGGGAAGAAAATAACAAACAAGGAACCAAATAATTACTAGGATTCTAAGGTTCCAAGGTTCCAAGAACCAAACTTCAGCATGAATAATGCAAAACTCAAAGAACCATAAACTATGCAAAACTCAAACCCTGGCATCAAGACCCAGGGACCATGACTGACCAAACAATATGTGTGTCAGATGAGAAGAACAATGCCTGAATTATAAAATCCCATCAACCTACAATGACATAATCAGAATGTTCTAGCAAACCATGTGCAGAATGTACCATCTTTTATTATCATATAGAATGATGATTAAGATCTGTTGTTGGATTTTTATTTTCCTTTTTGACTTCTGCCAATAATTAAATAAATGATGCTCCAAATGTCATTACACAGACCGTTTTACTACATACAGTAGTCCTGATTCCTTTGCCAAATTTAGCTGAAGATTCTAAACCCAAGACATAAGGCGTTGCTAACAGACTATTCTGCAGGCAGGCAGAAAACATAGAAGAAGAGGAATTGTGTAACAAACCATTAGTGGAATGACTCAGATAGATTCTACTATTAGTCAAAAAGATGTTTTCATCCCAGCTGCAGGTTATCAAAGAAATGAAAGCAAACATGTTTTCTGAGGGGGAATATTAAGGGTGAATACATATGCTCAAACTAGTACTGAAAATAATATGTATGCAATGTAACATTTGATAATGTGTTGGTCTAAAAAGAGCCTTTGCTGTTTTGTTGGAATTTTTTGTTTTGTTTTGTGAAATTGCACCAGTGAGGGCTGTTGTTTAATCTTACTGCATGGGTGTGTTTTTTTAGGTGCTAAATGTGAGCGTGTTGGAAGGAGAGCAGGTGACCGTGGAGGATACAGGAGGTCAAGAACCCTTCATCCTTGCCAATGAGTCGGTCTTGATGACTGGCTTAGTGCTACACAGCTGGAGCAACCAGATCTCTATCAGTCTCCGTAGTGAGAAACGCCGCAATTCAGCATATCTCCTACTCCATTACCAAGGTGAGCAGAAGCTATACAGTACTAGCTTTGGTGCCACATCATTCATACATGTTACATTAAACATGACAACAGCTTATTGTTAAGCAGCAGCTTTCTATCAGGTAATGCTTATCCTCAAGCAAAGATGGTGGAGAGCTGGTGAGAGGCTGCAAAATGGTTGACTAATTGCATTTAAAATTGCTCTATTTCAAAACACTATCTGTTGACCTTCAGCTGGGCAATGATGTGTATGTGCCTTTTCCATTTAAATTTTTTCATTTGCCATTTCACGGATCACATTTGTAAAGAATCATTAAGTGTAATAAAGTAGTATCTGGTGTGTCAGCCGCAAATCCTGTCAGTAGAAATAGTTACTGTGTTGTTGGTGAATATAATGACCTATAATTTCCAACCTCTCCCTCGCTTATTTTGTGTGTGACATTGATCTTCTATGTCTGTAACAATGTCTGTTTATCTTAGCAATCGCACAAAGTGGCCGCCAATTACATGCCCCATCGATTTGAGCTGACGGTGGTCGCTGGTGGACAATTCATTCTACCACATTACCGTGGTACTTTCATCAGCTAGAAAATGAAAGGGGCCATCAGAACTGTGCGGCTGATGTGAGATAAATCAGCCCATCACTGTTGGATGTTTGAATATCACTGTGAGGTCAGGCCGAATGATGACGGTGAAGGGTCACCACAGAACATACAGGGTGATGTATAGCTGGGAACACATGGTGATAAACAGTTGAAATATATATGAGTATTATTTTATATCAGTTGGTACACTTTTCACCTTTACCTGTCCCACTTGGATTTTGCATTGTTTAAACACCTCAAACTCAATTGAAGTAATGCAATGCAAATGCAAAAGTACAAAAAATAACATTGAATACATTATGTACTCTATAATATACAGGACATCCTTAAGTGAATAGCATACCTCCACCTTGGCATTGAAATTATGCATGCTGTATTTGCTGTAAAAAAAAAAACTAACAAACAATTTCTATATTATCCTATATTGCACCAAAATTCCTGCCCACTATGAAAACAATTTAACATAATAGGCTTCCAAGTTATACTTCTTTGCCAACAATGTCTCAAAAAATGATCACACATGCAGCCTTGTCCGTCTAAAAACTTGTTTGGTTTGAAAGTTGATGGAACAAATTCAGCTACATTAATGAGAAAAATACCAGGAGCAGATTTCATGAAGATTAGACATATCGGAGTCACGGAAGATATTTCAATTTGTGTTCTTCTGCTTTGCAAGCGGGGTATCTTCTTGTCCTTTACAATGGACTGTGAGAAATGTAATTGGACAAGCGTGGAGAAGCAGATAGAACTGTGGAGAGACGCATCTCAGCTCGTCTGTAATTAATATTTGCTACAGCACGAGCTTGTGATGGCAGACTGATGTATCTGTCTATAACAAGAGCAGTTTGACACTTGGAAAATAACTTAAAGTGTTTTTTTACTGTTTATGTTAAGAGAACATAAAGTGTGGGAATGAAGAGGGGCTTACCACTCTCCTCATATGTTCTTATCAGCGTCTTTTTCTCAATACACCCACATATGTTTGCGATCTAATCTAGAATTGAAAGTATAGTTAATAATATTATCTTAAGAGAATGTATGTCTCGATTGTTCAAATATTCTCCTTAAAAACTGATTTTGTTAAAAAAGGAAAAATCTGAAAAAATACTTACAGTTAGGGATTTTTCTAATGCACAGATTAGCCATTACATGAAACCCGGTGACAGATGAAGTGAATATGATCTGATGTGATCGAGCAATCTGAATGAGCATCAACGACATGCTGTGGATCAAGCCCAAATCCATGGAGATTCCGGCCCACAAACCCACAGAACGCAAAAGAGCTTCTGCCAGTGCTGTGTGCCAGACTCTGCATGATGCCGGCGTAGGTTTCATTGCCATGCCGCAGTGAGTTAGAGCTGCTTTGGAGGCACAACAGGGAATGCTATATGACGTTAGAGGTTTTAATGCTGGGGCTGATTAGTGTACAGTTTTGGTATTAATAATAAAGGAGTTGGTTAAATTAAAAAAAAAATGCACACAACGAAATAAGCACCCACCCCCCCACCAATACAATTTTTTTTCAAATTCAGGCATCTATTCTCTGTAGGATTAAACTGAAAACAATTTAATTTCTCAGTCAGGCATTGCTGTTTAATACAAAATAACAATGTGAAAAATTTATGATCTTGCTCTTTTAATGAGAAGAATCGGTTTAAATTTAAGTTTTAAAAATGAAATTGCATACTACAGTGCAAGTAAGCATTATGACTTATTTTACCCACCCCTGCTTTCTGAAAACTTACTGATGATGAGTAAAAGTAAAGCCCACCTTTTGGCTATTTTATATCTATAACATACATAAAGAATTTTGTCTGAATTAAATGTAATACTGATGTAAGGTCTGTAATATTAAATGTAATACTGCCAAAGCCTTATTTGATTCCAAAATGTTTGATTGAAATTATTTACAACCTCTAAGCATTGAGAGGATGATATAATAATTGTATTTGACATCTACGGTGAGCTAGGAGTTTTTAGCTGTATGAAGTAATCCATGCTGCTGATGGCAGCGGTGTTTCACAGCAATTATTGATTGGTTTTAACTTGAAACCTGCAACGACAAGAGATGTGGTCAGAGGACCCCTGCCGCTGGTAGCGATCCAGCACATGCCACCTGTTCTAAGTAGCATTGATAAGATTCTTGTCTCTAGTTCAAAGTTATTGCTTTTTAATGGCCTTTATTGAGTAAATGGCCATTTAGATTGAGGCTTTAACCAAACCACATAAATATCAATAGGCTATATCACCGCGGAACTATCGTCTGGCTTTGTACAAGTGAGGCACTTTACCAGAGACAACACTATTGATGTTTCTATAAAAGGTAATGCTTTGATGCACAGCCAGGTCATGTGGCTTAGATATATATTGACAGCCACACTCTCCCACATGTCGCCTACAAGCTGAGCGACTGATGTTATATCTGTATATTAAACCAATAACTGACTATAAAGATGACTAATCATTGCCATGGAATCTTCGCTTCTTGCACATTTTACTCTAAATGTCAGTGTAACACACAATGGATAATATTTTCCAAATATCGTGCCATTATATATAATAACAATCTACACTACATTCATTATCTGTGTTGTGTTTTCTGTCACCTCATTTCATTATCTGCTGCCTTCACTTAGTCATTTTTGATCCTATTCCAGCTCTCCACCTGAAGGGATTCAGGCAACACATACAGGAGTGTAACCGTTTATTAGAGCTAAATTGAAATGCATTTTATTTGTTTGGCCAAATACGCTGTGGGTAACTGACTATTACTAGCTTCCTCAGCTCATCTATTGTGCCCTAGTCAACAATATTTGTCCATCATTGGTTGAAGAGCCGCATTCTCAATTTGAAGTACTCAGGCAGATGAAAAATGTGCATACAGCTGAATGAGGCTCATTAATGGAAGGAATGTGTGAGTGCATGCAGTTGTCGCATCAGGCGTTCTTTTGGGAAATGTTTGCTTTCTTTAAATGTTTTCCGAAGGTTGATCTTAAGTAAATGTCGATAGAGGGCGGCAGAACGGGGAACTCGTTATTGGATCCCAAATACACATTTAGAGTTCCACATTTGAAATTCAAGTTTGTTTTTTGTTTTTTGTGCCAACATGTAGGTGTGAAAGGGCAGGAAGCAAAATAAAAAGCATACTTTATATTCAATAAAGACAGTACAAATCCACAGCTTGTGCACAGAGAAAGAGAATAAAAGAGAGAGTGAGTGAGGAAAGAATGGCAAGACAGGGCACTTGTGCTTTTTTGTAATGCTGACAAAAATAAAATCCAAAAAAACAATTAGCATGTGCCCATGTTCCTTATGGTTATATATTGCTTGCGACAAGGTACAGTGTAAAAATCCAGAAGTGTTTTGAGCTACTTTTCCTCTTCTATTTTTAATATTTACTAAAGTGACATTTTATTCCATGTAGTGTGGCATTTTTGTCAGGAACGCTTCATTTTGACATCATCCAAACATTGTAATATCTACCGATCAGGCATAGCATTATGAGTACTGACAATAGTAACACTGATTATCACTTCATCATGTCACCTGTTAGTGAGTGGGATATATTAGGGAGCAAGTGAACATTTTGTCCTCAAGGTTGATGTGTTAGGAACAGGAAAAATGGGTGAGTGTAAGTATTTAAGTCTGAAAAGGGCTAAATTGTGAGGGCTAGCCGAACTCAAAAGTGGTCCAAAGAAGGAACAATGGTGAACCAGGTCCTGGGTACTGATAGGGTCAAAGAGCCAAGGCTCATTGATGGAATACAACGTGATCCAATCTAAGTAGTAGTTGAAACTGCTGAAAAACTTAATGCTGGTTCTGATAGATAGGTGTCAGAATACTGACAGAAGTGCATCCCAATTTGTTGGGTACGGGGCTGAATAGCTGCAAACCAGTCAGCGCTGATCCCAGTCCGCTGTTGACAGTGTCAACAAATGGGAACTTGATCATCATGGGGCAATCGTGGCTCAAGAGTTGGGAGTTCACCTTGTAATCGGAAGGTTGCCGGTTCGAGCCCCGGCTCCGACAGTCTCGATCGTTGTGTCCTTGGGCAAGACACTTCACCCGTTGCCAGCTGGTGGTGGTCAGAGGGCCCGGTGGCGCCAGTGTCCGGCAGCCTCGCCTCTGTCAGTGCGCCCCAGGGTGGCAGTGGCTACAATGTAGCTTGCCATCACCAGTGTGTGAGTGGGTGACTGGATGTGTAAAGTGCTTTGGGGTCCTTAGGGACTAGTAAAGCGCTATACAAATACAGGCCATTTACCATTTACTATCAGAGCTGGACTATGGAGCAATAGAAGAAGGTGGCCTATTCTGATGAATCACATTACCTTGGGAACCCCTGACAGTGTGATGCTCTGAGTAATGTTCTGCTAGTAAACCTTGGGTCATCCACATGGATGTTACTTTGACACATGCCACCTGCCTACCCACTGTTGTAGACCATGTACACCCTATCATGGAAAAGGTAGTCCTTGATGGGTGTGGCTTCTTTCAGCAGGATATTGTGCCCTGCCAAGAACAAAAAATGGTTTAGCACAGCAATGAGTCTGAGGTTTTGACCACCAAATTCCCTAGTTCTCAATCAAGTTACGCACCTGTGGGATTTGCTGGACAAACAAGAGGGCCCACCTCGCAACTTTGAGGATCTGCTCAGCTACATCTCAGACTTGATAGGCCTCTGTTAGCAGGAGTTAAATGCCAAAGGTCATGAAAGCATAATTACACAAGACTGAACATTACTTGTTTGGAAGGCTTGCCAGCAGAAAGCCTCTTTTCTCTAAAAGACCATGGTAACATGGCTTAGGACTGCAAAGCTGCATCTGAACAATCACAAAATTTCTGGAATAATGTCCTTCAGGCAAACGAGACAAAAGTGGAGATGTTTGGCTATAAACCAACATATTCTAGAGTCATCTATCTAGCATTTAAAACTTGGCTTAAATCCTGTGACGTACCAGGACAATGATCCTACGCAACGCAACAAATGCCCACAAACCTCGATGTACTGAAGCAATGTTGTAAAAGACAGTGGGCCAATTCCTCCACAACAAATTGAGAGACTGATAAAGTCATTCAGAAAATGGTTACATCAAGTTGTTGGTGCTAAAGATGACTCTACAAGCTATTCAGTTGTTGGGTGTACTCAGTTTGTCACCTACACTGCCTCTGCATTTTGGCATCACTTTTGTTAAAAAAAAATACTGAGCCAGTGTAATATTTATGTCTTTTTGTTCATCACAGTTTGAGTTTTCCCTGGGTGAGAGTCTGCATTATTTTTTACCACAATCGTACAGTAAATGTGTGGTATTTAAAAGGCAATAAACAATATTTTAATGAGAGAATTTGAATTCTAATGATACTTTTGCAACTAGCTTATGCGTGTACTGTACTACTGTGGGTTTACATGAGTATTACTATGACTATGACTATTTCCTCCCCACTACAAGAAAACAATAACTAAAGACATACGCTTCACATCTGTTTCCTGTGGCTCTACAGCACCATCAGCTAATCTTCCTGGCTGTCTGCACTGTGGATCTATTATTTCTAATGGTGAAACAATCAGACTTTATGGCCCAGCACCACATCTACTGGAATGGAGGCAGCACGTAATTTAATACTTCAGGAATTGGCTCCACAATTTTTGCCTCTGGCTCTCTCACTGCATGCTCAATAGGGATGTAAATGCTGCTATGATAATGGCAATAACTAGGTTCATTGGAGCTAGTGATAAACTATGAATGGAATGGATGACCCAGGGGCAGTGTACCTCATCCCTGTGGCTCACTGATTTACTGCAACGCAAAGGCCGGTTTCATTATGGTAGAAACCAGTGGCTTGTGTAAAAGAAACACATAAGTCAGTAGTTTCACAAACCTTTATGGCCATTATGCATTTAGGGCTGTTTTCCCTCGAGTTCAAGTTCAAAGATTGATAGAATGACTTTTTTTTTTTTTTTGAATAGACAATTTAGCTTCAAGGTAATGGTAGAAAACATCACTAAAGTGATGTTTTTTCATGTCCAAATGACTTGGTTGAAATGAAAGCGCTTCAAATCCAACCTGCTGCATATTGTCTAATCTGTTTGCACTATTTAACCTCCACTTGCCCTGTTTTTGTGGAGGTGGGCCAACAACCCTGTCTATGAAGTGTGTGCTATTGCTTTATACATGTGGCTACTGCTCTAGTAGTAAACACACCATGTTAAGATGCCAGTCTTGTAGCTCTTTTATTGAGGATCCTGTATCTGTGCTTTTTTGTATTTGAACCAAATTAGACTCGATATATTGAAGATAAACCCATTTCTTGATGTCAACTTACTTTTTTGATGTTACGTAGCCATTTGTGAACTCATGCAAATATATATTAAAATTACGAGTGTTATACAATTCACTTAACTGTGAGCAAGCTACCTTTACCATATATTATCATCATCATTATTATTATTGGCCATTGTGCTGTAATTCAAGACTCTAAGTCTGCAAATATGATTTCAGCAAGACAGTTTTAACAAACACATGACTACCAGCTGCCCTTTGCTTTGTTATCGTTGCCTGTTTGCACTTGTTTAGCTTTTGCATCCGCTCCATTAAGCTAAAGCATGTTATACAAGGCTTCTAGCTTTCTGTACTTCTGCAGTCTCACAATCACACTGTTATTGTAGCACAAGCCATAGTGCGTCCAATTATATTCTGTTGTTCACACATTTCCAGAAGTTTAAAAGTTTTAGTCTGGTCATTAAAGTGCCTACACTAATGAGGTAGAACAGTGTGGTTATTAGACAGGAAGAGAAGGTTGTTTAATAGCTTCCATTAAAGACTTGGTTAGCTTACTTCATTATCAAAGTGAACTCCATGCCGTCCTACACCATTTATTTAAAAAGGGAACAGGACAACAATGCATAGCAAGTCTGGGAACATTGATCTTACCCCGCTGCAATCGCAACTCTTTGACAACCACTATAGAGGCTATTCCTCAGCCTAACGTTACAGACCCACTATGATGTTCATCCGACCAACCATGCATCCATTTGTCAAAGTATCTGCAGCAACTATACACCAAACCACACAGTGATGATAATTACTCTAGTGCCAAGAACATGTCTCTGTACATTTGCATACTGTTTGTACTGGTAAACTACAATTAAAAGATGTGGTGTATATAAACAAATCTGAAGGCTGGTTCTAATAACTTCTTTAACTGCATGTTGAAGAGAAATAGGAAGACCGAGACAGATTCATTTGCACAAATTCACAATCATTTTGGATTTAAATATTTATGGGTCTTCAGCAGTGGTTTGGAGGAGAGACAACTTGGTCAACAATGAATACACAATGCAGAACATAGAGGATTATGTTGTGCAGCCAGTTAACATTGTTGGCAGTTTGGTCCAGGACTGGATTGTGCTCAGACAAATAAAAGGCTGAAAAACCCTGGGAAATGATTTTTCTAAATGCTAAATTAAAATAAATAAATAAAAATAACTTAGGCCAAGCGTGTCCTTTCCCAAAATGATGCATTTAGTTATTTGCACTGTGATTTCACAGCTGCTAATGGTGAAATCAATTACATTAAAATGCAATTACTGGTGTTATAGTATAAACATGCTTTTTCTCTCTGTCTCTCTTTCCTATCACTACTGTATAACATACTGCACTTTATAAATCGATATATTGCAACAAAAATTATCAAATTATAATGTATTCATAAGAGCACCTTCATTTCCCTTTCCCTCTATTTTTGACTCCTTCCTCTGCAGCCTTTGTGCTGAGTTGTGCATTCCCCAAAGAGCCTGCTGGTGGAGAGGTTTCAGTGACGCACCTGCATCCCGGCGGAGAAGCCTATTTCAATTGTTTCACTGGATACAAGTTGCAGGGTCCAAAAATGCTCACCTGTCGTAATGCAACCACGCCTTACTGGAGTGGAAAAGAACCCCGATGTGTTGGTAAGGCAAATTTGTTTTCTGGATAGACAAGTTTCAAGGCAACAAGACACCCCCCCCCACCCACCCACCCACCCAACTGATACTCTAACAATAAAACTGCAAAGAATGTAATTAAACTAAATGAAATCTAAATGCTATAACAGTGGGTTATGGGCTTATCCCTTCAGCTTAATTGGAATGTTGGGTGATTTGGTTTGATTTTTAATTTTGCTTTGTAAACTAAATTACCTTCAGGCTCGTTGCCTGACAGTCAGTGTTAAATACGTTCAAGTAGTTAACATTGACTGCCAGGCTTTCAAAGCAAACATCTAAGTATTGCTATTAATTTTAATAATTATTTAATTATTCTTATATTTGAGAGTTAAAAGAAAAAAAGAGTTAAGGAAAATAATTTGCAAAGTGAAACTCGCAATTTTAAAGACACAAGCCTGTTTCTCTTCAGCTTTCTCTGAGAGAACAGGTGATTTTGATTAACAGAGCCTTTCACCGTGTTGTCTCCTACTGAGTCACACTCGGAGGGCAAATGAGCGTGTTTGCATGTGATTAGCAGCACAGGGAGCTGTTCTTTGGAGACGGGGCAAAATAAGGCCATTGGACCTGGCTGCCTTAATTAGAACTGGGCCACATGACTCTCCTTCTCCTGCTGGTAAAAACTCATCTGCTAGTTCCAGCCTTTCACCGCGCCTGCCTGCAGCTGTTCTAAACTGATAGTGTTACTGCCGCTGTTTTGCTTTTACCTTCACAAACAATCAGGCACTCTTAGACCCAGGAGAGCCGCCTGGTGTAGCTCAGCCACAGTCCACTGCATATCGATGCAATCTGTGCTCAGACAGGGACTTTTCTCCAAAATCCCCCTACCACAGTTCGAATCATTACTTTTTTTCATCAAGTTTTTACTTCCTACTCTTTGTCCTTTTTTCTTTTGTTTTCTTTTCTTTTGTTTTCTTTTCTTTTCATACAGCATCCTGTGGGGGAATGATAAAAAATGCCACATATGGCCGCATCGTCTCTCCTGGTTTTCCTGGCAACTACAGCAACAATCTGACCTGCCACTGGGTTCTGGAGGCACCTGAAGGCCACCGGCTTCACGTTCACTTTGAAAAGGTGGCTTTGGCAGAAGATGATGACAGGTAGTTTATGCATGCTGTTAAAATCAAAACACACATTGAGAATAAATGTGAGCATAGTGTGGAAATGTGAGTTGTGTCGAGCTTTGAACTCTGAATAACAGTATTCCTGCAGATGGAGGATTAAAATTCTCGAGGGCTATAAATGACCAAAATCTTTAGGGAGTGACAGATGAATTTGAAAGGACCTTTTATCATGATAATCCGTTAAGTGTGCTCTGTCAGGCAAATGAATTGAGGGGACCAGAAGGTAGTGAGAGGTAGGAGACTGCAATTGCATTATGTATCCTTCTGTAACCACTGATCCATATGGCAATTGTCATGCATGCCCATTCACCTCATTACAAGGTGTAGAATGTTATCACAAAGTTATTACAGCTGCAGCTGGAACAATGAGCAGGTCTCGGGTACCTTGTAATTTCTTTCTTTAACATCTATTTTAATCCCATCAGCGCTCTCTCCCTGTTTTCTTTTTTTAGGTTGCTAATAAAAAATGGCAACAACATAGACTCTCCCCCTGTGTATGACTCCTATGAAGTTGAATACTTGCCAAATGAGGGAGTGCTCAGTACCGGACGTTATCTGTTTGTGGAGTTCACCACAGACGGGACGATGACCTCCACCGGTGCAGCCATAAGATACGAAGGCAAGCTGATGAGGCAGAATGCAGAGTTTGCTAATAATATCTTGCACCATCCTTGTCACTTATGTTCAATGTCATACACTCTGTCTGCAGCTTTTGCGAAAGGGATGTGCTACGAGCCCTTTGTGAAGTACGGGAACTTCAGCAGCAGCGATTCCACCTACAATGTGGGCGCAGTGGTCGAATTCTCATGTGACCCTGGCTACACACTGGAGCAAGGCTCTGTGGTGATTGAGTGTGTGGATGCACAAAACCCTCAGTGGAATGAGACCGAGCCAGCTTGTAGGGGTGAGTTAACAGATGTCATGATTGCAGGGCATAAAAAAAATAAAATAAAAGTGCTTCCACTGGAGAAGAACTTGGAGAAATATCAGATTGACCCGAGGACCCGAAGCTTTCATTGTCTGCTTGATCACTGCAGGAGTTAGTTTTTCTAATATTAAATACCAGTGACAGTTAACTATATCTTCCTAAGCTGCTTTCCTCTGATCCGTGATAAATTTTCTCTCAAAACTGTAACAACGATTTACTTTGAAATGTGCGCTTGCAGGGCAGATTTTCGAAGTGCTCGAGATTAAAGGCGCACAATAGCTGGCCTAAGATGAGAACTGCCACAGTTCACAGGCGACGCATCATATTTAATAGCGGCCCAACCCTGAGCCCTTCCCTTCCCCTCTCTGTTTCACTCCTCCCACATGCACATACACACAAACATGACATGCTGACCTTAGTCTTGGTCTTTAAAGCCTTCATGGTTATTCTGCAACAGAGTGAAATTGAAAAGCTCTCCAGTAAAGCTAGCTATAAGAAAATTTAATTTCTGCTCGTATGGGTCATGGTCACCAAGTGGTTCAGTGTCAGTTTGCAGTTTTGCGAGGATCACACCAAGATGCTTGCACAGCACCTGATTTCAGCTGTATTTTATTAAGCACTAAGGTCATGGGCATAATCTAGCTAGTCAAAATTATTTATGTACCAACATATATTTTGAGTGAATTGATTTCTAATTTGCATCTTACTTTCCTGTATCTTCAAATCTTTTACAATTTGTTTTTTCAGCCTGTACTGTTTTTGTGTTGCAGCTGTGTGCAGCGGGGAGATCACAGACTCTGCTGGTGTCGTGTTGTCTCCTAATTGGCCCGAGGCTTACGACAAGGGGCAGGACTGCATCTGGGGTATCCATGTGGAAGAGGACAAGCGGATCATGCTTGACATCCAAGTGTAAGAGACTGCACCCAGGTGTAAGACTAGAAATCACTCAGGGAGGTCAGAGAGGATGTCAGACTCCAGATATAAACACACACACCCCTCTTGGTTATTTTCCCATCCTTTGTCTCATCTACGCAGACACACTACAAAATGCGAACAGGAAAGTGTCTCTGTGGTTGCAGTCACTAATTAGATTTTTTTTTCAACATCCCCTACATTAAGAATTCTGTGTTGCTTCCAGCTCGCTCTCTGACCAGATTAGCCAGTAAGCCTTCCTGTTCTCACTTCCCTGGTGTCTGCCTCAGAGTTGGCTTTGAAATGAATCTGCTCTGGCAGTCAACTACTCTGAGCCACTTATTCAGCCTATCCAACTGTAATTCAGCACACATGCACAGAGATGTCAAAACAGACAGATGCGCACACAAAATCCAGGCACACCGTTTCACCTTCACCAATCACTCGTGCACAAATGTCCCCTGAATGCACACACATTTTGTTTCAGTCGACACCAGTAATTGATCTTAACTGGAGTGAAAATAATCGCACAACCTTTTCTTTATGGTACGTGGAGCCTTTCTCAAAAACAAAAAACTCCGCAAAATTATATATCTTGTGCCACTGTCTTGTTATCTTTTATGGATTTATCCCTTTGCTTTGGTTGAACGATTTCCACAATATTGCCTTGCACATGCAGCCTATCGTAAGCACCAAAACTACATCATAAGTGATTCCTGTTGTTGCCTGAAGCACTTGCAAACAAGAGGGCACAGAGAGGTTAAAAATAAACCAATGGGAATACTGCCTGAGGTTGTTAAAAAAAAAGTCGCTGACAAATCTCAACCAGTGGCAATTGCTAGCTGTTGGTCAGAGTGGTCAATTGTGCATGCGTGCATGAATTTGTTCCCTTCACTTTTCATATTTCCCATATTCATAATTCTTTCTGAACAGTGTGATAAAATGAGGACATAATTATGAAATGAAGTCTGAGGCTGTACAGACAGATTGCAAGCTGTCCTTAATAGACAACCTCCAGAACAAATCAAATCGCCATCATTACTACAAATCTACCATAGTGAACGGCAGCCAGAGGTGGCAATCGTGAAGCTTTTTCACTGATTTAAATCACTCCATCATTTCAGTTAAGACATTCATGGTCACGTTTGTGCATGCATAGGGAACAGTGCTCACTAGTTTAACATTCTGCACTAATGCACCATCTTCAATTCATTATTGTACATCCCGTGCATTAAGTCGGTAGCGGTATAACTGACGTTTGGTCAGTTGCTCAGCATTTTATTATTTGAGCTATTTACATTTAGATTTTTTCTTCTGTGGAATTTTTTTTAAATATGTTTTTAATAAGGCAGTAACACAATGTGAAACATAATAAAGCTGAGAATGTGGCTCTGAGTTCCTGGTGAAGAAAGTTCCACCACTGAAAATGATTAAGTCTAGGCATAGTCATCATATGGCATTCTTATATCTGTGTATCTGAATTGTGCTACTTTGTTATCAGAGTGAGGTGGTCATAATCTACAACCAGTGCTGTACTCAGGAGCAATGTTCCCTCTAATTTTTCATGTGTCTGCGCGAACACAAAAACTCCCTGAGCGATCCCTTGGACCACTGTGAGCAACAGCAGACGTGTGCACTGTGGTCACGCCAGCATCGAATCCATCCAAGTTACATGGTTTATTAAAATAATCAAATTACAGCATTTACATTTTTGTTAGACTATTTTTAATTAACTGCTTTAGCCCACTTACAATGAAAATGTAAAAAAAATCCTGTTCATGACCTGTGTAGTATGTTAACACTATTGGAAGTAAAAATAACTTGAACTCCAATTTTGAAAACACAACTTTCTTTCTTTCTTTCTTTTTTTTTAAATAAAGCTCTGACTTGTATTATAAGTATGAGTCTGTGGTCTGGGAGAGAGTCCTGTAACTCTCTGTCTGCAAAATACAGTATATAAAAACCAATGTTGGGTAATTAATTATATAGTTACTTCTTCAAAAAAGTAACTGAGCTTTGCAAACAATAAAGTTTTTTGCAGCTGTTTACCTAAAAATACAGCCAAGGTTTCTTTTTAAATAAACATTTCAAACTATTTACAGAACAATCAGGTGTTCTGCATCAAATTTGATGCCACACAAATTATTTGTGTCACTCCAAAAATAATTTCTGTCCACTATGAGATAAAGGAGAACAACAGCCTGATACCTGCAGGCCTGACAACAGGAGATGTATCACTCCTGTAACACCTGTAACATTCAGTAGTGGCTTTATTGTTCTGACACACACAACAAAACTATTGATTACACTCCACACTAACTACACAAGATTTGCGCTAAACGTTGCAAATCTCTCAAGTCCCAAAACACCGCGTCACTCTTAAAACTTCCCCCCTTCCTAAACAATTAAATGCCATGTTGCCATATCATTTTTTGATTGGTCGACGTGGTACATTTTTCGACCAATAGGAAAGGGTGGGGGGTTTTGTTTTTTCTCACAGGCGAAGAGCGCTTTCAAGCGTTTTCCTCATAAAACGCCGTTTTTACCGTTTCTTCCAGCAGTAAATATATACAACAACAGTATTCAGGAAAAAACAAACAAAGATTGCATATATTTTTATCATGACTCTGGTTTTACGTGGCCTTTGAAAACAATTTAAAAACTGGTATAAAGTCCACACTTTTCCGTCAATTGTTCCGTCTGTCCTGCTCACATCTCCAATAGTTGTACACTTGTCATCAACGTGGCTTCACTCCACATCAGCCACGCTGCTTTGCTAGCTAAAACACCGGTGTCGGCTAGTGATGGGATTTCCAGCTCTTTTTAGAGATCCGTCTCTTTCGGCTCGACTCAGTAAAACGACCCGGCTCTTC